GGCGTAGAGTATTTCTTGAAATTTGGCATAAATTTGCCAGAGAGGCAGGAAACTCCAGAGTGGGACCAGGAGGTGGCATGGTGGTTAGAGTGACATGGCTGATCACAGTCGAGTCCCAGATGTGGTTTCCTAAAAGTCACGCCGCCAGGCACATGTGCATGTGTGCTCAGAATCCCTTGAGAATGGAGAAGGGATTGTGGCATGGTCATCCCACCTGGTGGGTGATTTCTTACTTTCCCTGTCACTTTCTCTGCCTCCCTCTGGTGAGTGCAGACACCCTGTGACTTAAACCTTAAAGAAAAGAAAAGAAAAGAAAGAGGGACCAGCATTTAGTGTAATGGCTATGTCACTGGACTTTCATGTAGTCAACTGCGGTTCAAGTCCTGGACCTGGTGGCTTAAAACTTACGCCGGGCGCATGTACATTCGTGCCCAGGATCCCGACAGGAGAATGGAGGAGAAGGGATTGCTGCATGGCCATCCCCCCTGGGGATGATTTCTCGCTTTCTGACTCTCTGCCTCTTTCTGTCTGGCGAGTACATGTGCCATATAGCAAAATCCTCTCCAAAAAAAAAAAAAAGAAAGAAAAATCCCAGAGTGATAACTTTGTGTAGCCTGCTGCCAAAGTGTGTGCCTGTGTGGCCCTATAATTGTAGGTCCTTTCTGAGAAGTGTAGTTTTTTTTTTTTTAATTCCATGGTGGGACAGCCCATGGTGTGGTGGTTGACGTTGACTAGATCCCACATGAACAACTATGCAGTTTAAATCCCAAGCCCTACAGCTTGAGAAAACACACCAGGTGCGTGTGCATGTGTGCCCAAACCTAAAAGGAGAAGTGAGAAGGGACTGCAGTGGGACCACTGCCCCCAGTGGGTGCCTTCTCCCTTTCCATCTCTTTATCTCACGTGTGTATGCACATGTTCTTTAGCAAATTTAAAAAAAAAAATTTAAAAATATACCATTAATTCTCAATTTCTTAAGTGTTCCAATGTCTTTAATAAGCCCTGTAGGTAATGGTAATTGCTAAAAAATGTGTGCACTTGCCAAAAAGAGGGGGAGAGGGAGAAAGCAACCTCCCTGCTCCTGGCCGTGTGCCTGGTCACCCTCGATCTCTTCCCCACTTCTCCGTCCTGTTAGGATTTGGGCACACATGCATCTGGTGTGGTTTTCAAGCTCCTAGGGCTAAGATTTGAACTTGATTCGGTCATGTGGGATCCAGCTCTCTTACCACTAGACCACAGGACTGGCCTGGAAAATCTGTTCATTAGTTTCAGTTTTCTTTCTAGTGTCCTTACATATTAGTTCCTTGAGAAGGGGCAGAACATTACAAAATTTCCACTAACTTCTTGTTTTTCTCCATCAGTTGCTTTTCGACTATATGATTTGGATAAAGATGACAAGATCTCTCGTGATGAGCTGTTACAGGTATGTGGGGAGAGCTCCCAGGTAGTTTGTGTTTTGGCCTTGCTTGCTTCATTTTCTGAGCAGGAATTGTTCTTTAAGAAGCATTTGTTTGGGGGCCAGCAGATAGCATGATGGTTAAGGTACTGAACTCTCCCATGGCTGACTACAATTTGAGTCTCAGACTTGGAAGCTTGAAACTCGTGCCAGGCACGTGTGCATGCATGTCCCAAATCCTGAGAAAACAGAGGAGAAGGGATTGCAGTGTGGACATCCCCTCTGGGGAATGATTATTCAGGCTAGAGTAAGGGCCAGCCCAAAGCATTCCTACATTTATTTGTCTCTGCAAAATGGAAACAACCTGCTGGTCAGTGTTAATGTCGCTTGCTTTCAAGTTGGGAATGTTGTTCTTCAGTGAACAGAGCTTACTTTATTATAAATGATGGGCTTTTGAGTTCTGAAGAGAAAAGATCGAGGCTGTCACTGTATGGTTGCATATTTTCATCCTCTGGGCCGAATCTGGCTTCAGAGATTTTTTTTCTGAGCGGAGAGTTGATTTATAATCTATTACTGGGACAAAGAAAGCCTGGAGCGAGACCATACGGCCAGAGTGCCAGTCAGGGTGACTGGAGTGTTTCTGGGACCAGGGATGACTTTGGTACCAATGCACTCATGCATGACAGAGTTGTAGGACTAGTTTTATCCTAGCAAGATGAGAATATGAACATTTTACCAATGTGAGGGAGAAAAGTTTATCTTTCTTGATCCACAGTTTCTAAAAAAACTCGGTAATTTCAGTACTTAGCTATTCCTTAGATACCAAAAAGTTATCCTAAGGGAAGCCTGGGAGATTAGTTTTCTTTTTATTTTTTTTTAGTTTTGCTATAGAACATGTGTACTCACCAAAGAAAGATAGGAAGAAAGCGGAAATGTGAGAAATCACCCCCCAGCGGGGATGGCCATGCCACAGTCTCTTCTCCATTCTCTTGGGCACGCATGCACATGCACCCAGCATGTTTCTCACCCTGCAAGGTCCGGGACTTGAACTGGACACACAGCTAGCCCACAGCTGGCCATGTGGGCTCCAGCTGCCTTAACTCCTCACCACCTGCTGGACCTCAGAAAATTCTTTAATTTACTTTTAAAGCCTCTTTCGGGGGCTGGCTGGTGGCATGATGAGTCTAGGAGCTGGACTCCCACATGGCCGATGACAGTTCGAGGCCCAGACCTCGTGGCTTGCTTTCTCACCTTCTCTGTCTCTCTCTCTCTGTCATACACACACTCACTCACTCACTCACTCACTCTGTCTCTCTCTGGTCAAATTAAATAAATAAAGGTAAATAAAATAACTCTATAAAAAAAAACCTCTTTCATAAATTGGAGAAGGATGTGAAGGAGTAAGTAAATGGAAGACTATGAATCTTTGAGCTGGGGGACCAGCAGGTGGAGTGGTGGTTAAGGCTCTGGACACTCCCATGTGGTCAACCACAGTTTGAGTCCTGGACCTGGTGGCTTGCTTTCTCACTTTTTTTTTCTCTCTCTCTGTATGTCTCTCTCTGGTCATACTAAAATAAATGAATGACTAAATAAAATTTAAAATTTAAAAAAAAAAAACAACTTTGGGATGAAGGGCCTTTCTTCTGTGGAAAAGCTCAGCTCCCACCTTCCAGAGGCCGAGATGACTGACCCCAGTGATAGGAAGTGCCAGTGGGCACTCTGCCCCATTTCATAGTGTTTGCTAGTCAGCCTTTCACGTTGTCTGAGAGTCACATTGTTAAAATTGTTTACTTTTGTTTAAGATAGTAATCTTATTTATTTATTTATTTATTTGTTTAGTTTTGCTTTTGAGCATTTGTGCTTGCTGGGAGGAGAGTCAGAGATAGAGAGAATGTGAAACGTCTCCCCCACGGCGATGCCCATGCCACTGTCCCTTTCCCTCTATTCTCTCGTGATTTTGAGCACACATGCACATGTGCCCAGCGTGTTTTTTCAAGCCGCTAGGTCTGGATTCGAACCTTGAAGTCGGTCATATGGGATCCAGCTGTCTTAACCACCACACCACCAGCAGACTGAATTTTCAAAGTATGTTCACACCCTAAAGCTGTTAATAGAATTGTATAGGCTGTGTTCTTGAGTGAGTTTGAGACAAATTTGGTGAAATAGTAGCTGTTAATAGAATTGTATAGGCTGTGTTCTTCTGTAAGTTTGAGACAAATTTGGTGAAATAGTATTAAATTTTATTGACTCAGTGCTCATAGCTCCTGAATGTGTTCATTTTTTCTAAGGAGATTTAGCACTTAACCGTTTAAGATGTTATGTTTCTCTGGCTAACTATAGGAAGAGCTAGCTTCTTGCACAATCTCAAAGAGGACCACATTTGAGTGGGGTTCCAGAAAGCCCCGTCAAACTGGCTGACTTCAATAAGGAACTAGTTCACCTCAAATGACAGGAAGTGTGGGGACAGACTGTTCAGGCTGGTTCAGTTCCAAGAACCAGGGTTGTTCTGTATTCTTGCCTTGCTACCCGCAACACAGTTTTACATGATGGCTCTGGGATGTGTGCTATGTGACCAGCATTGCCTCTTCATTCTGGGCAGAAAGACTGGGGAAGAGCAAATTGCAAAGGACTGTCCCTCTTGCCTTCCTATCCAAAGCCCTTGCCAGAGAGTTCTGCTCTCATCGACTGGAATGGCCTAATGGGGAGGAAAAGGCTTCAGCTTTCTAGTTGTTGTACTTGAGGGTATCAAAGAGATAAGGGGTTGGTGGCTTTATTTTGTAATCTTTTTTTTTCCAAAGATGATTCCATTTCTTTGTTTTAAAAGAATTATTTATTTTTAATTTTATTTATCACTATTTTTTCTTCTTTTTTGGAGACGTTTTTGCTATAGGGCGCATGCACTCGCCAGAAAAACAGAGACAGAGACAGAAAGCGAGAAATCACCCCCCAGGGGGGATGGTCACGCCGCAATCCCTCCTCCTCCATTCTCCTCTCGCGATCTTGGGCACAAATGCACACGCGCCCGGCGTGAGTTTAAGCCGCTGGGTCCAGGCCTCCAACCGCGGTCGACTACATGAGAGTCCAGCAACATAGCCATTATGCTAACTGCTGCTCCCTATTCCCTTTATTTTTTAAAAATGTGCTATAGGGTACATGTGCTCATCGGAGAGAGAGAACAAAAGTGAGAAAGCAAGCCTCCAGATCAGGACTCAAACGGCATTCAGCCATGTGGGACCAGTGCCTTAACCACTATGCTACCTGCTGACCCCTCATCTATTCTTCCCACGAGAGAGAGAAAGAGAGACAGATGGGCAGACAGGTTCCCCGACAGTCTTTATACCGTGATCCAGCGCAGTCACATCTGGCCTGGGTCTCTGGCATGCTTACCTTCCCAGTGTGCACGGAGGTCACAAGACGCAAACCCGGAGCCCTGCCCATGTGGCTCCAGCTGCACCACCACTGGCCTTTTATCTTGACTCTAGGTAAAAGAGTCCCTCTAACTCCCAAGTCCCCTGTAATTCCTGGCTCTTGGTCCTTCAGGTGCTACGCATGATGGTCGGAGTGAATATTTCAGATGAGCAGCTGGGCAGCATCGCAGACAGGACCATCCAGGAGGCCGATCAGGATGGGGACAGTGCCATATCCTTCACAGAATTCGTTAAGGTTAGTCAGTCACCTCTCGATGTGAAAAAGTTCAACTTCACTGCAGAGGAGGGAGAAGGACAACTGTTATCCAGGTAAGCGCGTGGGCCCGGTATAACCTTCATAACTGGAATTATTTTTTTCTCCCAGGTTTTGGAGAAGGTGGACGTAGAACAGAAAATGAGTATCCGATTTCTTCACTAAAGGATGGAGACCAAACTGTTTCTTGCTTTCTAGTATTTAAGAACTGGAACTTGAGAGTCCTCCTGTCTACCAGCCCCACCCCGTCCACCTCATCATTCCCTTCTCCCAAAGTACTACTGCTGTTGCATGACAACCCGAGATGTGTTCTGTCAACACAAACCTGCCTTTGGTGTAAAACAGGGCATTACGGAATGGTACATCTATCTGTTTCTGTTGAGTATCCGCTTATCAATGGCATCTCCCCCGTTCTGCTGCTGAGTGCCACACGTCCACCTCCACCCCGGCTGAGAAAGTCAGAGGGAGCCGGGCGAGAACCAGCCTGCAAAGCCGTTCAGCTGGACGCAGCCGATGGCCCTGCTGCCTCCCTCTACTGAGGCTGCAGCGCGCTTCTTCCTCTTTGTATGTCCTTGGCTTCCTACTTCTGTCACCCAGCATACCGTTCACTTGTCCGTTCAGCCTCCCTGCTGCTTATTAAGCCTCAACATCTCCTCTGTTCTTGGCACCCCAAGCTAAGCCTGTTAAATATACTTCTGACTTGGCAGGATAGTTCAGAGGTCTGGGAGTTTTTAATCGACCTTCACTCTTAGATGGGTTTCTGGGATATTGCCTCTGCAGGGGCTTTTCCGTAACCACCACTTCTCTCCGAAGACCATGGCCATCTCTTGGTCCTCTACATTCTGACATCAAAAGGCAGCTGGGTGGATGCTGTACTTGAAAGGTGGCCTTGGTGAGAGGTGTGCAGCCGCGACGTCTAGCGGGCTTGGCCTGGTCGCTCTGCCTCTGGCCTCTGGTTCTCAACTTACATACCTACGTGGCTTCTCTGGTTAGCACAGTGGTGACCGTTCGGAAGATAGCCGTAAGCCTGCTGGCTTGTTTTGGGACACTGTCACCACCACAATGGCTGCTCTCACAAAACACTTGGAGACTGTTTTGCGGCTGTTTGGACAAGGAGGCTGGGCACCCTGTAAAGCCTCCCGCATTTACACCCCTGCAGCATGATTTATGCCTCAGTGTTACATGCTCTGAAATGTTTTTCACTTCGCATTTCCAGGTAGAGAGATTAGTGTTAGGGAAGTGCCTGACGTATCCCAGTTCAAAAGATTTAAAGATTGTCGTCCGTGTCTTGAAGTTTTGCACAAAATTCCATATGGATTTTATACTTGGCAAGTGCTAATGCCGGAAGCCAGAGTCAGCTCCCCATGCAGGTCCAAAGTGCTGAATGCATCACGTCACTAGCTGCCTGGTTCTGTTAGCATCCTGACTCCTGCAGACCATGGCTTGTCCCTTAGAAACGGGTCTGGCACTGGTGGCACCACCTGAGGTGGCATCACAGGTCTAAGTCTGTGTGTATGAGTTTATGCATCCACGTACTGCTCTTGGCTACATTCTCTGATTCATTGCTTGCTTGCTTGCTTGCTTGCTTGCTTGCTTGCTTGCTTTGGAAGGCTAGACAAGCCACATACACAGTTCTGTAGAAAGAAGACTGCTTTAACAAAAATAGCATGGCAGGGATTGGGAAGGGAGGGTAACGAGAGTGGCCAGGCTGGATGGCATCGTAGGGATGGATGAGGAATTATTTATGAAGTATCAGTCTGACTTTGTGATCAAGTTGTGTAATATAGTAATCATGTGAAAGGGAAGGATTGTCTGATACGGATCTGTTCGAGAGGTACTTCAGAGGCTCCTTGATTTACATATTTAAAATTCCCAAGATTATGGCTTTTTCCCCTTTTGGCTGTATAGCAAACTGTTTTAATCCACGGTTGTGCCTTATTGTTCCATTAAAATTGTATCCTTTGATCCATCAATAAACACTTGTGGTTAAAACAAAATAGCTTGGGTGATTTTCCTTTTGGGTCTTATAAAAGTTTTATGTAACTGAGTTCCCTTCAAGTTCAAAAGCACAGTGTCCCCCTCAGGTTTATAACTGCTTTCCAACGCAGGGTCGTTCTGCGGCTGCCTACACATCATGGAAACGTTCTGCTCGGACCTAGGGGCCAGCACAGTCTGCCTCTTGGCAGTTTTATTGGCCTCAGCCACTTCCCATTCATCCCAGGTGAGATCAATTCTTTTCGAAGGTTATTTATGACAGAACGTGTGGTACATGTATGCGTAAGACGGAGGGGTTCCCAACAGAGCCTCTTCACACTGCCCCTAAGCTATGAGGATCCTGGGCACACACGTGTACAACCGGTGTGTTTTAGTTGACTGGACCAGGGATCTGAGCCACCATTTGGCCATATGGCTTCCGGCACTGCAGTCCTACACACCAACAGCTGCACCATCTAGACCTGGCTACAGGCCCAAATTCGTTCCTTGATTCCCTAACTCCTTAAATGTGGAAAAGACTTAACATTGGGATATTTGTCTTTTGGTTATTTTTTAATCTTTTAAATGAGGTTTTCGCTTTATGGCACATGCACTCACTGGAGAAAGACAGACAGTGAGAAGGAAAGTAAGAAGTCACCCCCTGGGGGGATGGCCATGCTGCCAATCCCTTCCCCTGGTATCTTGGGCACATATACACATGGGCCTGGTGTGTTTTTTTTCTTAAAGAATTATTATTTATTTAACTTTATTTATTTATTTACTTACTTATTTCAATTTGACCAGAGAGGGACAGAGTAACAGAGAGAGAAGGAAAGCAAGAAAACAAGCTGCCAGGTCTGGGACTTGAACTGTGGTCAGCCATGTAGGAGTCCAATGCCCTTAACCACCATGCTACTTGCCAACACCACCGGTGTGATTTTTTTTTTTTTTTTGAGAGGTTTTTGCTATAGGGTGCTTGCACTCGCCAAAAAGACAAGAGACAGACAGCAAGAAATCCCCCCCCGAGGGGATGGCCATGCTGCAATCCCTTCTCCATTTTCCTCTCAGGATCTTGGGCATGGATACACACGTGCCTGGCATGAGTTTAAGCCACTGAGTCCGGGACGTGAGCCTCAGTCTACTACATGGGAGTCCAGTGACATAGCCATTATGCCAACTGCTGGTCCCTTGTCGGTGTCATTTTTAAGCCACCAGGTCTGGGACTCGAACCAGGATCAGCCATGCGGGAGTCTAATGACGTAACCGCTCTGCTATCTGCTGACTTCCTTTGCTTGTTACTAAGTTGCCCACTTTGACTTTCATATGCAGTATCAGTGGCATACTGTATGTAGCTTTTAAAAATGTATTTATTAAATTTTATTATTATTTTTTTTTAATTTGACTAGATGGAGACATGGAGATAGAGGAAGAGAGGGAAAGTGAGAAAGCAAGCTGCCAGGTGCAGTACTCAAACCATGCTCAGTCATGTGAGAGTCCAGCACCTTATCCACCACACCATCTGCTGACCCCTGTACTCAGATTTTACGTGGCTTTTTGCATTTTGAAGCCTGTGTGTGACTGCTTAGTCTATCTAGGGTACAGGTGTCTTAATATTTAGTGGCATTCCACACAATTCACAATGATTCCTGGAGTTGGTCATCTGGATTTTTTAACATTAGACTTTCTTTCCCATTCCTCTGCCTCAGAAGTCCATTCAGAATTATTTACTTAACTTAGTGTTTAAGGGAACCAGATCCACATGGCTGACGGGTTCAAATCCCAGCCCCAGGAGCTTGAAAAATAAAGTGTGTATACCCAAAATCTCAACATGATAGAGAAATGGACGAGGGATGATAGCGTTGCCATGCACCATTTGGGAGTACTTTCCCTCTCTGTGGTAAGTGCAAAGGCCATCTGACAATTTAAAAAAATTATGGGTAAGCAGGAGGTGCAGGGCTGACAGCTTGTGGGCACATGTGCCCAAAATCCCAGGAAGAGAATGGAGGAGAAGGGATTGCAGCGTGGCTATCTTCTTTGAGGGTTTTTTTTGTCTTTTTGGAGAGATTTTTGCTATAGGGTGTGTGCACTCACCAGACAGAGACAGAAAGCGAGAAATCATCCCCCAGGGGGGATGGCCATGCCATAATCCCTTCTCCATTCTCCTCTCCAGATTTTGGACATGCACATACACACGCCCGGTGTGAGTGTTAAGTCACCAGGTCCAGGACTCGAACTGTGGTTGACTACATGGGAGTCCAGCGACATAGCCATTACGATAACCCTCTCCATCAATTGCACACATCCTGCAGCAAAAAACTTAAAACAGAAAAATTACACAGGGGCCAGCAGGGAGTGCATGGTAGTTAAGGCTCTGGACTCCCACAGGCCCAACTGTGGTTTGAGTCGTGGACACGGCAGCTTGAGACTCACACCAGGCACGCGTGCCTGTGTGCCCAAAATCCAGGGAAGAGAATGGAGAAGTGACTGGTGTGACCATCCCCCAGGGGGTGATATCTCACTTCCCCTTTCACATCTCCCTTTGTTCAATGAGCACATGTGTACCATGGCAAAAACCTTCAAAGAAAAATTGCATATATTTTAACTTTGCTTCACTTTATGTCTAATTTAGGATTCAGAAAGTGATCGAAGACCATTCAGTCAGTTTTGGAGGAAACTTACATTACTGACTATTGCCATAGGTATATCAGTCTGTGACTAAATATAACTTAATTGATACTATGTAAAAGAATTTTAGGGCCAGCCCCCGAGTACAGTACAGTACAGTGGCTGGCTAAGTGTTATGTGTAGGGAGTTCGATCCCACTGCAGTTTGAGTCTTGGTTCAGTTTAAAAAACACTGGTGGGACCAGCAGATGTATTGACTATGTCGCTGGACTCCCATGTAGTCGACTGTGGTTCAAGTCCTGGACCCAGTGGCTTGGACTCATGCCAGGCACATGTGTGTGCATGCCCAAGATCCCGAGAGGAGAATGGAGGAGAAAGGACTGTGGCATGGCCATCCCCCCTGGGGGGTGATTTCTCGTTTTCTGTCTCCCTGTCTTTCTGGCAAGCATTCTCATCCTATACCAAAAACCTCTCAAAAACAAGACAAAACAAAAACCACACTGGCTGATGTGCATATGTGCCTAGAACCCGAAAGGGACAGAGAAGGGTATTGCAGCATGACCCTTCTCGTTGGGGGCTGCTTTCTCTCTCTCTCTCTCTCTCTTTAAATAACAATTTATTTATTAATTTATAATTTGACTGGAGAGAGTATCAGATGAGTGAGAAAGCAAGCTGCCAGGTTCAGGACTCGAACCACAGCCATGTAGGAGTCCAGTGCCTTAAACACCACACTACCTGCCGGCCCCTCTCTCTCTCTTTTGTTTAGAAGAACTATTTTATTTAACTTTATTTATTGATTTTAACTTGACCAGAGAGAGAGATTGAGAAAGTAAGCTTCCAAGTCCGGGACTCGAACCTCGGTCAGCCTTGTGGGGGAGTCTAGTCCCCTTAACCACAATGCCACCTGCTGGCCCCTCCCCCCCTTTATGAACAATTTTATTTCCCTTGTTCCCTTCTAATCTATTTATGTATTACATATTTGAACATAAATGGAATATAACAACATTTTATCAGCTTTTACAAGTTAACATATTGTAGACCAGCCAGGTGGCTTGGAGGTCAAGGCACCTGGATCCCACATGGCCAGCTCAACAGTTCAAGTCCTAGACCTGACAGCTTGAAAAACATGACAGGCACATGTACATGTGTGCCCAATCCTGAAAGGAGGATGAAGGAAAAGGGATTGCAGTGTGGCCACCCCGCTAGAGGGTATTTTCTCATTTTCTCTCGCTCTCACTCCTGTGAGCACACATATCTTACAGCAAATATTTTAAAATTAGCATTATCAGGGCCAGGAGTTGGCCCGGTGGTTAAGGCATTGGATTCCCACATGGCTGACAGGAGTTTGAGACCTGTACCGGGTGTCTTAAAAAATCATGCCAGGCACTATGGGTGATTTCCCACTTTCCCTTTCTCTGCCTCTTTCTAGTGAGTGCCCACTATGGCAAAAGCCTAAATAATAAATAAGAAATCTGGATCCAGCAGGTGGTGTGGTTTTGGTGCTGGACTCCCACATGACCAACTGTGGTTCCAGTCTTAGACATAGTGGCTTCCTTTCTCACTTTCCTTCTCTCGCTCTCTTTCTGGTGAGGGCTTATACCCTATAGCAAATTTAATAATAATACTACTAATAATAATACCCTTTTATTTTAAGAGAAATTTTTGCTATATAGCCTGTGTGCTCACTGGAGAGAGAGAAGGTGAGAAACACCCCTCCCCCCAGGGTGGGGAGGCAGGAATGGCCATGCCACAGTCCCTTCTCCTCTATTCTCCTCTTGGGACTTTGGGCACACACTTACAGGTGCACCAGGTCCAGGACTTGAACCGCAGTCAATTCTGTGGGAGTCCAATGATGTAACCATTATGCCATCTGCTGGTCTCTAAAATTAAATAAT